AGTCTTCCGCCATTTTGAAAAAGACATGAAAACTGCTACGACAAGTGTTGAGAAAAAAAGTGAGTTCTTTATAATAAGTTGTTTAAAGTTATCTCTAGTTTTCGCTGTATAATGAATTACCAAACTCCCTCATCGACAATTTAGAGCAATTTGTAAAAGTTTAAGTCTGTGAAAACTAATCTGGAAGACCTGACAAAGAGTATGAACATGGAAATAACTTCAACGAACTTCACTATTCCATAACAGAAATAAGTGAAGAACCTATGCTGGCAGATGTAGAGGATAGGAAAGTGTGCGCACAATGCTACAAATTTAATTAGTGATTCCGAATAGTTCAGCATCTGTTGCAAGGTTATTTAGCCCCCAAGCCGAATTAAAACAAAATATTGTAACAGATCGATTGGTAAGCATTTGAGCAAACCTAATGAGAATAGCTAATGAAAAAGCAGATACAGAACATTTGCAGCAAAAATATTCAATGTTCAATAGTTTAGAAATCAGAAGATGTTAAAAATTTATTATAATTAAAGAAATATTTTTTTTGAAAGTCTATTCGGGTTTTTTTAATTTTTAGAAATCTCACTTAACTTTTTGAAATCTCACCCCGTTTTTGAGAAAGGGTGAGAAATTCTCTCCCATTTTTTTTCTGTAATGAAAACACTGCTCTATAATATGTTTTGTTGAAGAAAGCAAATAAGTCGACAACCCTTTAAACATCGACGCAGCTATCAGTTAGAATTATAACTTAATTTTTTTTTATCAGATTGCAATAGCAGGAATTTGCATGGTTACTGACATTTAAAAATAAGTTACAAAAGTTATAACAATAGTATTTAAATTTTGGTTTTAAAGAATGTTTCTTTTTAACAGGTGAAATAGATTTATCAAAAATTACTACCGATGAAATGATGGCATGCATACTTGTCATGGCAGAAATCGGAATAAACATGGAATCCATACAAGTGGCTGGATATGCCGTCATTCTTGACTTTGAGGGGGTCACAATTCAAACCGTGAAGCAATTCGCTTCCCCCACTTTCTTATACAGAGTAATTCAATGTATTCAAGTAAGTACGAAAAGACGATACTTTTTATTATTACGAGTTATTTCTGAAATTTACGATTCACCGATATTCGATTACGATTCTACGATATTCACCTCCGAGAAAAAATTTAGGAGAGGGGGAATGATCTTAAACAATTTTTATAAATTTGCCAAAAAAATTACGAATCATTGTTGTGAACATAGTATAATTTTCTTATTAAAATTAAAACGATCATTTTCATTTTCATTCATATATAGCATGTCCCATAAGGGTTGTGACAAACTTCTAGGGAGATATGGCACTTCAGAAAGATTAAGAACTGCACAGAAACCCATGACCGGAAATGTCATCGTACGCCACTAGAGGCGCTTCCCTATTATGAAAGTATTGTCCATGTGCCATTGAAATGGTATCTAAAATATCTTAATTTAATGCTAATTTTATGTTTTATAATATTTTATGTGGAAAATTGCATCTAAATAGGCTCGGGAATTCTGTCGTAGGCTCGGGAAATCATTAAATTACTATAGAGCAGCTCTTTATGAACATATGCGAATGTACTTTTCGACACTAACTATAAGAAAACATAAAATTAAGATATTTTGGATACATTAACACGTTGAATGCCATGGGGGTCCCCGGTGACCAGCACTGAGTTTGTTCGTAGCGTTTGAAGAAATTAATGCAATACAGAACACACAAAAAAAGTTTTATTTATATACACAGTGATGCCAACTTGCTCCGGACAGCGTATAAATGTTTTCAAGTGATAGTTTATTAATTGTGATTCTTGGTTTAATAAATTCAATTTAGTTGATTTTCATCCACCACTATTTCTAAGCAATTCGTTGGCTTATATAATTCACCACGTTTCTCAGTTATGTCGTGCTAAACCTGTTAAAAAACTAGCAAAAGCTGTCCAATTTACAGATTTAGTTTGCTGTTATTTTCTGTTTGGCCGGCAAGCCTGGTAAAATTTGCCTGGCATTCAACGTGTTAAAGTACCGGTTCATAATTGGTAAGGGACTTAAGCGGCTTAAAATAACACTTCTGTCTATAGGTTGCTGAGCAATTCTTTACCTCTATGATGTGCCCTACTTCCCGTATAAGTAGGGCACATGCCCTCCAATACCCACCTAGGAGCCGCTATGGCTCCGAAGATAGAGCGTTCACCTTCCAATGAGGTGAACTGGGTTCGAATCCCAGTTACGGCTAGTCAATACGAATCCGCATCCAGCTCGCACCGACCACAGTGGTGACGTGAAATATCCTCAATGGTAGACTGATCATGGGATAGAGTTCATTTGCCGCTAGGCTAACCGTCGGTGGTTCTCTGCGTCTTCCTCTCCATGTAACGCAAATGCAGGTTAGCTCCATCAAAAAAGTTCTCCGCTAAGGCAAATTTCTCCCAATACTTGATCCAGGAGTTTCCTTGTCTTCTGGATTGGGTTCAAAATTACAAAGCTGCGGAGTTGAAGATTAGCAGTCGTAAACCCTAAAAATTGGGTTGTCTGTTCTATGACGGTAATAAAATAAAATGACCACCTGGGGAATGACCTTATACAGGCATCTGAAGGGAAGATTTGTTGGCCACTCTTTTAGGGGCACCATACTAGGTGAATCAACGTTGCTCCCACAGTAAACACAGATAGTACATAGAAGGAAAGAACATCCATGCTCTTCCGGGATTCGAACTAAGAACCTTTCTGATGCAAGGCCAGTTCTTTGACCCCTACCCAGGCCTTCCCTTAGAAGTCTGTTACAACATTTCCGGGATACATTTTATGTTTACTGTTTGTAACATAATTAGCTTATATGTTACTGATTGTAACATATAAGCTGATTTGGATGTAAATATTTTTGATATTTTAAGTTGTTTTTGCCTCATGTCAAAAGGTTGGTTTAGGCGTGTAGCAGTAGAAGAAATTATTTAATTTATTGTTAATAATAAAACGAAGCAACTAAAATTTAAAATGAAAATAGTTTTATCTCTTTTCATTTTATTTGAGTTCCTTTTAAAAAATAGACTTGAGTAAGAATAGACTTTAAAAAATTTTTAAAACAAATAATGTTAAAGCCTAATAAATACGTAAATGTTTACTTTCCTATTTTATAGAACAAGGATTTGGTCACTATGATATATACATATTTTAAGCAAATATATGAATATAATAATAAAAAGAAAAACTAGGCGGGATCTGACTTTTTTTTAAATTTGTCAAAAAAGTTTTTTGTTTTAAAGGGAGAATTGTTTTAAATGTTCAAAGTTTTCCTCTCCGTGTAACGCAAATGCGGGTTAGGGCCATCGAAAAGTCCTCCATGAAGGAAAGTTTCTTCTGATACTTAATCCACAATCAAGTATTAGAAGAAATTAAGTGGAGAAGCGGAGTAGGTGACTTCCTTGTATTACTTAACATTATGTTTACGGACGTTTCTTATATACCTATATCTACGAACACGCGTCAATTTGACGCTAGAACGAATACGCATAACAGCACTTACAGAGATGCCAACTTGCTCCGGACAGCAAATATATATTTTAAAGTGGTAGTTTATCAATTGTGATTCTTGGTTTAATAAATTCAATTTAGTAGATTTTTCATCCACAACTATTTCTAAACAATTCGTAGGCTTATATAATTCACCACTTAATGTAAATAAAATTTTCTTAGAAGTTATTTACCGTTTTTTTAAAAATTATTTTGGCGTGTCCGGAGCAGTTGGCATCTTAGAAAGCAATGTAATTATATGCTATAAGAAAAAAAAATGAGATTTATGAAATATTCTAGTATTTTATTTTTGAATACTCGAACTAAGCAACTGAAACCATCTAAATCTGACACTCTGACATCAATTGGCATTATGCTTTTGTTCTTTCTGTTATTGCTTATCGGCAACAGTTGTTTATCGCTTGTTTCATTGGAGATAACGATATCGGATAACTGATCAAAGTATTGTCGGTACATTCCTATTTATTATTGATGTGATGTTTGCATGTTTACTCAAAATTTTGTCTAAATTACGATTGCGTCAAATTGGTAGAGATGGGTATACCATAAAGAGAATTTCAATATTTGAGCGCTTTTGAAGAAAATAGACTTAAATATATATTTACCACGATCAATGGATAAAAGTCATTACAAGAGATAAAATAAAAATGCAGACGGGTTTTGTAATTTTCCTTATCAAATTCGAAATGTATCAAAATACCGCGTCCCGTAAACCTACTGTTAAATTTCGAAATTAAATACAATATGAAGTGATAAACTTGTTTATCTCAACATTTTCATAAATGCTTGCCTGATAGTTATACTAAAATAATATTTACTTTTTCAATTTCAGGATGTTATTCCATGTCGAATCAAAGGTTATCACATAGTAAATCAGCCATATTTTTTCAATATCATACTCGCCATAGCTCGAACATTTCTTTCAGCGAAACTTTCAAGCAGAGTGAGTATATTATGGCATATACTTTTGAATGAATAGGTTCACAACTGTAAAGAAATATCTTAGATTTGAACCAAATTATGGTTCAAATTTGCAACAGTCCTTGAATTGTAACATAATAAAGGGCGAGAAGATAAAATTTGCTCAATAAAGTTCGTGCCGCCAATTCTTTTCTTCCAAATTTCTTTCCAAATTGGCCGAGTTCATTGGGTCATAAATTTAAATGGACGAAGTAAACAGAGAACTCTGAAGAAATTATAAAACTGATCTACTCACCCTAGGATTGATACCCTTAATTTTTCATCTTGTAACAGAGGTGACAGTTCGTAAAACACTTAATGAAGGATGTGGAATTTGAGAAAAACATCACAAATTTGTTGTTTATAGCAAATTTATTTTATTTTAATATGGTGACATTACACAGCAATTCATCAGCCAAACATCTCCAGCAAATTTATCGTATTAAGCACGAGACAAAGTTAAGAAAAGAAAACTTCACAATAAAAAAACTTTGAATCGTTTCACATATCCACCAGACCGAAAACAAGAATTTCATAATTGACAAAAAATTGAAGTGTTAGTGTTGCTCCCCCAGTCGTGCAGCGCCTTAACCGGTTAACGCCCAGCGTCATATATTTAGGACAGTTCCTTTTTTCGAAGACATTCATAGTGGTGGGAAACTTTTTTCAGAATTTTCATTAATCTGGGTGAATTAAAAGATTCTCAGATACCACAATGATTTAGTTATTTCTGACTAGATCTAGAATTAAAAGGAGCATGTACTTTTTGATCTATCAAAGACGTTTTGAATGCCCTAACAGTAGAAAAACCAATTAATTTCGATTACATATTTTACCACCTTTTCCATAAAACCACATCTTGTATCATTTCAATATATAAAGTTGGGACAAAACGGGTTAAAAAAATCAGGGTCATTGGTAAATAACCATTCACGAACAAAAGGAAGAAAATGTTACCAGAAAGGCTAATCTATACATAATAATAAACGCGGCTGTGTGTGTGTGTGTCTGTAATCACAATATATCGCCCCAGAAGCCTCGCCCGGGCACGAAACTCGGCCCATAATTGTGTTTTCACATAATGAAGAAGTATTTTTTTTCTTTTTCAAAAATTTTGATTAGTTATTTAGTTATCAGTCATTTTGTAAGTCTATGCTTTTCGTCTGCTTTTTCGTCTTCAAAGAGCCATATTCAATAAATTATTAAAAAATGCATATACTTTTCCCCACTCTTATAAATGTATGCTAATGCGAACCTCACAATTGAAATATTAATTTTCGACAACTTAAACCAATAATATACGAAGGAATTAATAATTTAATTGTAAAGTTCGCATTAGTTTACATTTATTAAAGTGGAGAAAAGTTTAACTTTTGTATTAAAAATGTGGCAACATATTCGATACGTAAATAGAACGCTTCGCTTTGATATATTTGTCGCTGTTCATAATTGTTATAATAAGTTTTTCTTCTTCTTTCCACGCTCTTTTTTTTTTTTCTTAAGCGAAGACGATAATTTTTATAGCGATATTGTAGTACTTTGTACAACTAAAAATTCTTTTCACAACACTTTAAAAATATTTACTTTATTTTCTTTATATATACAGAGAACAGTCGGCAAAGAATTCGATTAGGTTGAAAAACATTTCGCTAAAAAGGAACGAATTCCAAAAGAAAAAATAAACAACTTAAAGAATAAAAATGCTGATGCCAGCCAATTTTTTGAAAGTTAACTTAGAAATAACAAACCAAACGATGTTAAATAACAAACCAAACGATGTTAACAAAATGACGTAGAAAGCGCAACTAGATCAAAATTATACAAGCACAACTAGATCAAATTATAATACCTGAGTGCTTGACGTAACAGATATAGAAATAGAATTTGATACCATAAAAAATTATATAGAAATAGAAATTGATACCATAAAAAATTTATTCGTTTTCGTGTTCTTTTCATGTATTTAGCATTTTAGTTTTTTTTTCTTAAGCGTTGTAGCTATATAATTTCAAACATCCTCAAGAGCTATAACACATCTGCAGCAGAACTGGATATGAAGACAAAATTGCTGGACAGGAACACTTTAATTGTCCACTAATCTTCAGATTTCCTGCTATGTTTTAAAAAACTTTATTTGTGAAAACCTTCAGCGTGGCGGACAGCTGGCCGCCTTAGGCGGCTAGTGAAAAATAAAATGGACCTTGGAGAACGCAAGCTTGGAACTACCAGCTTTTTCGTCCCTCAAAGAAATAGATATCCCACAATAACAAATTGAAAGTTATATTCCACAAGAACAAATTGTTAAGACAAGGCGTTCTACGTTCTAATTCCTCATAAATCTATCATTCCTTATCTCCCCTTCTACTGACCAGACGAGTGGTCCCCCCTCCGTTCAAGACCTCGTCCTCTAGCGTCCACCATGTAAAAGGGGGCGACCACAAACGATTTGTAGCTTACAAATTATCAATTTGTTTTTGTGGGATATCTAGAACAAAAAAAAATCCTTGAAATATTTGATAGCTGGGTTAAAGCTGGGATATAATCGGAGCTTGGATAATCGGGACTCTACAGTATTCGTATTATTTTGACGCCTATTTGTACGAAAACTTACATTATGACTAGTGCAGGAAAACTTATTATATTTCTATTAACATTTCAATTATTTATGCTCTGATGTTGGATTTATTTTTCGATTCTTTTTCAGCTACATTTGCATGGTTCGAACTTAAAAAGTCTTTACAAATACGTGCCTCAAGAAATACTGCCAGAAGAGTTGGGTGGTAAGCAAGGACCAATATCTAAATTTCTGGAAGTATATTCAAAAAAGTTTCTTTCTATGGAAGACCATTTTACAAAGATGATCAAATTCGGATACCAGGGAAAAACACTGGAAGAACTCCAAAAAGACAATCCACACGCAGTTCTAACATAACCTCTGTCCTTTTACGAGCAGTTCTTGTTTGTCCAGAAGTGAGAAAAGTGTGATTTGGACTCTACAGTTGTTTATACTTTTGGTTTTGTAAATATTTATGACGGTATTTGTAAAATAAGTGTGTATTTAAATATTTCAATTGTGTAAAAATATTTATTTCATTTTTTACAGCCTTATAGTTGTAAATTTTGCAAATATATTTTTTGCCTTACTTGTATATAATTGCTGTTAAACAAAGAAAATTGTCACAAACTTCCTATAGTATATAAGTTTTCCCTCATAATCTGCTTTATAGACTCCATTTTATTTATGGTGTGAACCAGAGGTTTCAAGCTGTGTGCAATAGGCAATTTTGAATCACTTAAATACCGTGATGATAAAGTTCATTTTATAAATGGAAAAAATATTTATTATGTTTATAAATATTTATTATACTAACAAAAATACCTCTTGACTTCTAGTAGTGCCTAGCTAGCTGTTAGTGAAACAAATAGAGTGAATACAACTGTTGATGCTAATTTGGAAGCCTGCTAAGTCACCCTTTTTAGATACAGAAGCCATTCGGCCAATTTACCTTATTGATAGAAATGATAAAAGATCTACGCTAGCAAATTGAAGTTCTTAACAAGGATATAGCGAGGCTGGAATATGAATATAAGCAATTACTGCACTGAAAACAAGCAGTTACTGCACTCAAAATTAGCAGTTATTGCACTGAAAACAATTAGTTACTGCACTGAAAATAAGCAACACTGTTTTGTTACGTTTCGATAACTTCTGCTTTGGTAAAACTTGCTATTATCTGGTCCTGTGCTTCCTCCCCCCATGATGTATGTATATGCTGATTCCACGAAAGCTGTCGCTGAGGATAACTATATCCAAAGTGGAACAAAGGTTATACCGGTCGCAGGACAAAATTTATCGCGGGCCACCACCTCAAAGCACAAAAAAATCTTATTTTTTCTATTTTGTAAATGTTTTAAGACCCTTTATGCAAAATGGACCTTTTTTAAACTGATATAAAGAAATTCTCAGCCATTTTTTTTGTGAAGAAACAGTCATAAATACAGTATTTTTTGTAAAGAATTTTTGTTGGGCCCTCAGCCATCTCGAGTTCCAGCACAATTGTCCCTCTCTTTTCCTTTCTCACCCTTGAGAACGGTCTTGACTACATCATAGGCGTAATTTTCTAAAATTATATAAAATATAAATGTCTGCTACTTTTACCACTAAAAATCTAGCGTTTCTTAATTTCCCCGTAGAGTTAACATGTGTACCTGGTTTTGCTCCACTAATGGGGTAAAACAACGCCTCCTATAACTGAAAGCCTCCACACGGTTTTTTTATAGGTAGTCCGATCAGACCACTGTGAAGGATATCCACTTACCGAACGAGTCACTTAATACAAAATCTAATTAAAATAAGAAAGTGGTAGCAAATATATGACTAAAAATTTGTTTTATTTATGAATATTATTGGTTTGCCTTATTTACTTGTCAACCACTACAGATTCAATTCTCAAATATATAAGATAAATTTCTCTCAATTACTTTTTGGGTTCATGCGCACAACTGGTTCACTTTTTAAACAGTCTGCGCGGACTACTTATAAAAGACTGTGTGGAGGCTTCTTGATATAGGAGGTGATGGGTAAAACCGGGTAGTGTGATTTTTCCTAGAAAAAAACATGTACTTAGGTTAGTTCAAAAAGTAATACCATCAAAACTCGAAGATAATACTGTAAAAATATTACTTCATTGCATATTTCTTTTATGTAACTAATAGAACATATTACTAAAGTTAAAGCTAGCGCTTAACTGATTAACTAGATTAATTTTGAAATTAATAATTGAAATCATTGAATTTCATATTTTAAAAAATATGTTTGCTCTTTCCTCCTTGAATTTCATTCTCCGTAAATGAAATATTCTTTTTAAAACTGATGGCTCTCGAAATTCAACTATTAATCTTTGTTTTAATTAATTTTATTAATTAGATAATTCTTATTGATTTGTTTTAATTAATTTTATTTATTTGTTGATTTTATTAAGTAATAAATTTTATTAATTAATCTTATTAATGAATTAATTTTAATAATTAATTAATTTTAATAATTATCGTTTTGACTATTAATTTTTGTTTATCTAATAAGTTTTAGCTATTCGTTTTCTTTAAGTTCTTTACTTTTAAGTTTTCCAGACAGGAAATAGATGGTAGTTACTATATTAATCTATGAAGAATTAACTATAAGAACGCAATTTTCTTCTTAAGACACTAATTTGTATTTTCGATTTATTTTTTTTAAATTTTATGATTTGAAATGTGTTCTATTGCATTCGATTAAACTCAGGTAGTAAATTTTAAAATTTCAGTTTGATGTATTTTTCATAGGTTTAATTGCTCTTCTGAAAGCGGTTGAAAAAAGTTTCAGCCTTAAAGTTTGAAGTTGAAAAACTAGATTAAATGGAACATATTTCAATCAATCCAATTAAACTAAAAATATTTTATAATACGAAATGAATATTTAATAAATAAGAAAATTGAGTCATCAAAAATCACCATACATTAAGATGCAGGAAGTGGAATCCCGTTTATGTCTGAAAAGGACATTTATACGTTAATTAGTTTTTTTAAAAATCACTTAATATTTATAAGCAAAACATTATTCTTTCATATTCAATATTTTTCACTCCGATACAAATGCACTAAAGTCCTTATTACTTTATAAACATTTATTTAAGTATTTTTGTATAAATTTGACAATAGAAACTCAGAAATTTGAGAAAAATATATTTTTCTACCAAAACAAAAACACTTATGTGCTTACTACTTTATAAACATTTAGTTACACATTTTTTAAACATATTTTACATTAGATAAACAAAATTATAAGAAAAATAATACTATCTTTCCCTACGATTGAAATCCACTAATGTCCTACTTGATAAGCGTTTATCTACACATTTTAGAATATATTTGACATTAGAAACCTAAAATTATAAGAGAAGTAATGATATTTTCCCCTCTGACACAAATTCACTGAAGTCCTACTTTATAAGCGTTTATCTACCCAGTTTTGAATATATTTGACATTAGAAACCCAAAATTATAAGAAAAATAATAATATTTTCCCTTCTGACACAAATGCACTAAAGTCCTACGTTATAAGCGTTTATCTACACATTTTAGAATATATTTGACATTAGAAAACCAAAATTATAAGAAAATAATAATATTTTCCCTTCTGACACAAATGCACTAAAGTCCTACGTTATAAGCGTTTATCTACACATTTTAGAATATATTTGACATTAGAAACCCAAAATTATAAGAAAAGTAATAATAATTTCCCCTCTGACACAAATGCACTAAAGTCCTACGTTATAAGCGTTTATCTACACATTTTAGAATATATTTGACATTAGAAACCCAAAATTATAAGAAAAGTAATAATAATTTCCCTTCTGACACAAATGCACTAAAGTCCTACTTTATAAGCGTTTATTTACGCAGTTTTGAATATATTTGACATTAGAAAACCAAAATTATAAGAAAAATAATAATATTTTCCCTTCTGACACAAATGTACTAAAGTCCTACTTTATAAGCGTTTATCTACACATTTTAGAATATATTTGACGTTAGAAACCCAAAATTATAAGAAAAGTAATAATAATTTCCCCTCTGACACAAAAGCGCTAAAGTCCTACTTTATAAGCGTTTATTTACACAGTTTTGAATATATTTGACATTAGAAACACAAAATTACAAGAAAAATATTTTCTTTTCTGATACAAATGTACTTAAATCTCACTAAAAAATGTCAACTGCTTGTTTTCCTTCGTTCATTTTTTTTTCATGCCAGTTAGCAACAAAAGAAATAATACCTGATAAAGTCTGTATATGTAAGCTAAAAATAACAATGGAAAAAACGAAGTTTTATCAAATGTTGACCTCAAGAATGATAAAGTATCATATTTCTTTTTTTTATACATGGATTTAACACTTACATATATAAAAGCAACATTTTTCATAATCAGTTACAACAAATAACGGTATCGGGAATGACTGGTTTTTTTCTAGCATTCCGTGGGACGCGCGTGATATGTCAAATGCATACTTCTGAATTTACCGTTTTTTTTTTCCTTCAGAAAAATCGATATTTTTCTTAAATTGCAATATTGTTTTCGAAAAATGAAGTAAACTTAAGAATCAATAGATTTTAAAAGACATTAAATTTTTTTACTTTTTTTCTGTTATGGTTCTTTTGTTCATAGAAATAGCAATACTACATTACCACCTTTTATTTTATTTTGAACCTGATGAAAAAAAGAAATTAATTTTTTTAGCCAACATAGAACTTATAAGCAAAAATCTTTAAAAAAATGGAGAATCGAATGCTTGAAATTTTTTTTAAAATTCAGCCATAATTTTATTATAAAAGATTTATTTTAGTGCACTATATTTTATTTTAAACAACTTCAAAAGTTTACGAACACTAAAATGTTGAAAAATCAAGAAAATATAAAATATAATTATTTGAATTATAAATGTTTTCACTTCATTAGTCATTGTTGCAATAAGGTTCCTCTCTCAAATTCCGTGTTTCCTCAATTTCGTTAAAAAAAAATTTTTTTTTTTCATTTTGTTTAAATCTATTAAAAATATAAGTTTTGAGAATTCATACTTGATTTTACAATCTCAATTTTTTAAATGAAATTGACGACTTATATATGCAATAATTTAAACATACATTTTGGAAGCTAAATAATCATTTGGTATTGTTTTATGTGCTGATAATATTAAAAAAATAATCATTTTTATTATTATTCCAATCACAGTTTTATTTCCACTAGTAAAAACGTTTCTCAAGGACCGGGAGAGCCGGGTTGGTAGAGAGTTGAGTTCTTGAGAATATGAATTCGAATCCAGACGCTGAAGAATCCCAGTGTATTAAATGGTAACTGGTGAACGTGAAATCTGTCAGGGTCACAAAGTCCTCCAAGTTTTTACAACAATTCAATAACCCTTGGGGTTCGGATAGCCTGGTTGGTAGGGCACTGGCCCCATGTTCAAGAGGTTGTGGGTTCGATCCCTTCCGGCCTAAGATCCCCAGGGTAGTAAATGGTGATTGATACAAGTTAAATCTGACCAGTCTCAAAGTCCTCCATGGTCCAATAGCAAACCATACCTCTGGGGTACTGATCCAGGAGTTTCCTTGTCTTCTGGATTGGTTCAAAATTACAAGGCTAC